ATTTAAATATGTGGAAAGCTATGATATTTACTTATCTCATTATATGTTAAAAGTAAGCTAAAAAAAACTTTTTTTTTATTCTTTATTTATCTTCGTTTAAAAGATACAGTATAACATATTTTTGATATAAATAAAATTTTTTTTGTATATATAAGCGGATTAAGTCACAGAATTAGCATTATACCATCACAGAATTGCACAGAAATTCACGAGATTGCACAGAATTCTTAAAAAAAATTACCGCAGCAAATCACAGAATTTGCCTTAACCACACGCAGAATTTGATCTTAACCACCGCAGAAAATCATCATCCCTGCTTTGATTGGTCAAAGCAAATCATGATTTGGTGTAACATAACATAACCAGCGATTGGACGATCATGTGAATATGATGCGTCGCTGATGTAATTATTTGATAGTTTACACGTATACTGTATTGTCATTTATTTGATTCCTTGTTTTTTTTCTTTCGTTGAAAAAAAAAACGTATAATTTCGCGTCAGGTTAGTTTTAGCTCAAATACACTCGAGAAATACAAAGGCATTTTTTTTTTTACTAAGTATTTTTTTTTTACTGAAGTATTTTTTTCACTGAAGTATTTTTTTTTTTTTTTACTAAAGTTTTTTTTGCTGAACTGCTTAGACAACGGACTTGACATAATTTATTGAAATACACTTTATAGTAATCATACACGGAAACGATTGTAACTTTGCTAGAAAAAAATTCTACAAAGAATTAAGTGTAAGTTAAATGTTGTTGGAGGCTGTTATGAATACAAATTTATTTTTTTATTGGTGGAATTCCTATACTTTCAAATCTGCAAGTGATATATATGAGCTAAGGTCCATGGTTCCGATAAATAAGGAAACATTATGAAACTTCTTTAGCAAATTCATAAGCTCGCTTAGTACGCATTTGTTGGGTTTTATACAAAAAAAGCGGAATTTCTTCTCCAGCTTGTATAAATAGATGACTCCCCAATATATTAAGTAATTTGGGCTAGTAACATGCCGAATCATGCCAATAATTTTTAACTTACTGTGAATTAATTTCATTAATTTTTTTCTTTTTTTTTTTAATTAGAATCAAAAATCGAATACGACCATTTCTGGATGTTCTTCGAATCTATATGTGCGGCTATAGATTTCTCCTTGGTTGCTTAATGCGAATGTATCAGGTCAATTGTCATCAACTCCAAATCTTATGATTGCTCAGGTATTGACGTTCTTCTTCGATTCATCCCTTCTATCCCGCTTGGCATTCTTCTAAATTCTGTTACTCTTCTCATCCATAATTCGCAGGTGCGACTTAAATTCCTTTTTTCGACTGAATCTTTGTTATTTTCATTGCTATTACCCTCATTATTATTTCTATCATAGTAATTCTTATCTATTTGATAATTATTGAATTCCTCATTTTCATCCTTTGTTACTTAAGTTTCTTAATTGTCAATAATAACCAGCACTACAAATTATATAGGCATTCCCTATATCACAATTTCCTAGGCCATTTTTTCGTTCAAATTTCCATCCTAAGATCGCTTCAAATACCACTCAAATATTTTGTGCCCACCAGTAATCCCTTCACCGGTTACATTTCATAGCATCAATAAAGTTTATTTTCGTGCTTTACAACTTCATTTCTTTTCTCTGGATGATTCCCATCCATATTTATTCCACCAGGAGGACCTTTATCGGTGAGCTTTTGATAATAAATGAAGGTCTTATTTTCTTAACTCTCTATCTTATATTTTCATAACATTACTCAAAATTATTTGTCGTATTAATCCGGTATATAGCATTCTTGATAACGAGTAAGAATTTTTTATTATCGGGGGGTTTTTTTTTTCATAATTTTGATAAAGGTCACTAATTTGCTGATTTCTATCCACGGATTTCTGATAACTATTGAATGCCAGAGGTTCATTCTGTTCAACATCGATTTCATCTTTTTCGTCCAAGAATTCTTCGTTGACGTAACTATCGATTAGATCTAGGACTAGGTGTATTACGTGATTGTTGGTGTAGTCAGCGATGGCTATTTCTTTCTTATTTTCGTAATACTAGCCAACATCACACACATCGTCAACACTGTCGTTTCAGCAGAGGCATGAGCGTGATCAATATCTTCGATTTGTCCTTTATTTCGCATTCATCCTCATTGCCACAGCTTCAAGATTACTTGCACATTTAACCCAGTAGGTGCCAATTCGAAACAAGCAATAGATGCACCTACTGCTTATTTCGAATACCATTCAAACGCTTAGAGGTCCAATTCGGATTAATCCGCCATCCATTTATTCGACATGCTATATCTAGATATCAATCCCATTAAACCAAATTATTTGATGTATTAGGGATTACAAGTTCTAAGGTAATCAACAGTGTAAATTAAAGAGATTCTATTTAATCCGGATATAAGTTTCTCCAGTTTATATTGTTGATTGCCTTAGAACTTGTAATTGTCAAATGATTTATATTGTTGATTACTTTAGAACTTGTAATTGTCAAATGAATCCGAATAACATATCAAATTATTTGGTTATTCATCTATTAATCTATTTTAACCAATTATCTATTAGATTTCAAATACCTAATAGACGAATGGATAAATGGCTTATCGATGGGAACACTACAAACATTTCTTTAATGCCTTTGTTATCTCGAAAAGTGCAACAATATTCAAATGTATTATGTTCGTCCTTTTCGGCATTAATTTCAACAAGTTTCTGAAGGGTTTTTCTGGGTAAGCACTTTCTTTTTTATAATAAAGCCAACAATCTTGCGAGATTGTTCTAATGGTTCTTTTTCATTTCTTATATTTGTATATTTTCTAACGCTTTTAATGTAAATGCCAAGGCCCTGAAATCTGCTCGTCATCAACAGGACTACGAAAGGTTTCATTTATTATTTCTTGGAGCTCTTTGATTTGTTCCGAGACAAGTATTCTAACAAGCATTGTACACTCTTCATACAGGAGTTTTACTTCTGGGTATTCAAGAATGAGGCGATCTCTATTGAATTGGCGAAAATTTGGAAGCATTTTTATGGTAGTTATTGGGGCAGGTAATGAAAGGAGAACAAAGTTTATACCACGACTTTTGGTTTCCAAGGTTCATATTATTATACAGAATTCTTTTATAAATTTACACAGAATATCCTAGGCGAGTTCACACAAATACTTTGGATTAGAGGTCCAATCCGGATAAATCCGTCATCCATTTATCCATATCTGAATTTATCCGGATATCCATTTACTATTGGTATCCGGATAATCCGACAAATATTCGGATAATTATTCAGATATCAATAGTAAAACGGACGAATAAATTCAGATCCGGATATCCAATAGATAAATGGATAAACGGATAATGGATAGGAACTCTACTTTGGATGATCCAACGTTATAGCTCAGTGCAATTTTGGAAATTCACGCATAAATATTGCAATTATGGGCTCGGTTGACGATATGGTTTGATGTTTAAAAAAAAAAATTTATTTAAAAAATCAGCTATTTGTTATTTAAAGTGCTTATAAGCAGAAATTAAATGAAATTTGATAATCGGATATCTAATTTCGAATAAAATGATTCCGAATAAGTGTTCTATAAATTGTATTTTTTTATTTAATGATTAAAAAAAAAATTTCTTATTTCATTTTTTGACTTCGATTTTAAAATAGGAATAGAATTTTTAATATCCATTTATTTCATAAGAAATTAATTTCTGAGTCACTCTACCGAGCAGTTTATCTAAATTAAAACAGGTCTTAAAATAATACCAAATTTCATTTACAATATCTTCAAAGATTACGAATATGTTATCCAATTCTCATTGTATCGTCTTTATCTTAATCGCTATACTTATCGTTAGAACCTTTCCTAAACAAAATTTACGTGTTCGCAATTCCTGCTTTCCAACGATTGATACATGCGCTGCACCAAGTTTAATTCAAGACACTTCATATTGCTTCAAGTAACAGTTTCGAATCATGTTTTATGCTCTCGAAAGTTGTGATGAACTTGAACAAGGTCACCGGTTATAAACAGATTTCAATCCCGTGTGTAAACGTCCCCTTTTATAGCTGTTTTAAAAAATAGTTGAATATACGTAGCAGAATTTACAAAAAAAAATTTTTTTTCTGAATACGTACTGTTAATATAAAATACAGAAATATAATTGCTAACGCAACAAATCAACATTCTGCACATTCTGCAAAATTCTGTGTTAGGCATCGATCATCGATCAATGTTCTAAACTAATCGGGTATTCGCAAAAAAAAAAAATTTTTTTTTTGTAAATATTGCTATTCTCAACCATTTTGAAAACAGTGATAATAGTTTGCCATTTCACTATCAACAGCTCTTCTTATGATTCGCTCTTTATTAATAAACGATCACTTGCAGTATTGAAATTGGAAGGAAGGTATAATCAATGCTACAAGAGAATTTATATGACTCAAATCTTGCAGAATGTTGTTCACAACATATTTTGTAATAAAAACGGAAATTCATTTTCAAGAGTTGGGAAAATGCAGTTTAAACAAAAGGATAATGAATATCGGAAATCGAGGTCAAAAGAGAGATTTGATGTAAAAGTTATCTTAGTAACTATAACGGATTGTATAAAAGAGAAGAAAATTATCCAAGATTTTTATGCGTGCAATCCCTTCGCTTTTTATAATAATTTCTGTAAGTATAAAACAAAATAATTTGATATTGGCTATGTTATATCAAAAATATATATTTATATTATCGTTATATGTTCTTATAATTTGTTTAAATATATATGAAAATAAACTATTCTCAGCGCATATCGGCTAATTTAATTTGTCTTTTTCGATAAACTGTTATACAAAGTTTCGTTCTTAAGTGAACGAATGAAGCATTTGTCACAATCAATAAAAGAGCTTGTTTAATATCTATGCAAGATAAAAATAAATAAAATAGGTATTTTAAGTTGTCTTAAAGTTCCTTGAGACATTCTGGTGTTTTAAGATTAGTTGGTAACTACTGTTAAGGATAGTTTCGTAAGTCAATTTTCAAAAAAAAAAAGTTTTTTTTAGCTTACTTTTAACATATAATGAGATAAGTAAATATCATAGCTTTCCACATATTTAAAT